ATTGTTTTGTTTGGTTTTTTTTTTTTTTTTTTTTTTTTTTTTGCATATATGATTGTATAAAACATTCATACCTGCTACAATAGTTACGCAGCAGGTGTTAAGTTGTAGTTATACAAGTGTGATCCCTTGGAGCCCCACCTTCTGTGGAGGCACCAGGAGGGGCATCCCCATCTCACAGCTCTCACATGTGCTTCCCACTCTCCCTCCACCTGCTAATGGGGGATTGCTGCTCAGAGCTGTGCAGGGCATAGGGAGAGGTGATATCATGCTATGACAGCTTCAGGGAGATGTAGCGGTTGTTTCAAAGACAGCAGTTCTTTCAAAATGGAGAGTGAAGCTTAATCAGCAAAAAGTGAGTGACCTGGAAAGACAGATAATTTAGTGCTTGGCTGCAAGATGAACACCTAATTGAAGCTTTTTCAAGTGCATGCAGAATTTATTCCCACAGCTTGCAAGTGAACCTAAATACCCCATGAAGCAAAAGGGATTGGTGATTTCTTCCACCATCCAAACAAGATGTCTTGTATTTCCAAGCAGCCAAGCAAGCCAGATGGAAATAGGTGGGGCTTCCTAGCACTCCACTGCCTTCCATCCTCCTGGCAGGCAATTTTCCGTGATGCCAAAACAGCCACAGATTAAGCACTGCAGGATAGGCACCAATGCTCATGTTCATTATCTCTAGTCTAGGGGCATGCCTGTATTCAGACAGCTCTTGAGTTCTCAGTTTAGACCACATAGGTGTCAATATTGCTGGAGTAGGGTCAAAAGCACCAGTTCATTTTTCATCTGACACTGGTAAGCTGACCTCCAGCCTAGGCTGGGTTACAAAACACAACCAGACAGCAAAAATCTCAGAAATCAGTTGCCACCTACCCATAAATGCTAGCTACTGAGCTGCATCTATTTACTTGTATGAACTGGCTATGGAAAATGGACTAGTAAAAGCTATTATGTTAATTCTTTAATTGACTCTGGGAGTGAATAAGAAATGTTTGGGATCAGTCTCCAGCACTTCCATATGGACATCCCCTGCCATGAGTGTTGTCAATGAACATAAATGTCAGGCTTTGCAATGCTTCTGACCAAACTAAGTACAACTCTGCCTTGTCAGTTCTTTCCCCTCTACGTCATCTGGAAAGTACAAATAGGACATAATTTGGTTCTAACTGCCAAATGGAAATCAGCACCAATGGAGGGGAACTCTCAGCAGGCAGGAAGGCAGCCAAGGCTGTGCCCTGCACAGGCAATGGCTTACATCAGAAGGGAGAAATCTTGTCTGCAGCCTGCTTGTGCTGATGCAGCAAGGGCACGTGCTCAAACAGGTATCAGCAAAGGGCAGTGTGAGAGCTGTGCAAGAACTGGAAGCTGTTGTTAATACTTCCACACTTTTTCAAAGCAAAGGATGGAACTTGAGAATATTTGGACCTATACTTCAAGAGTTCCTATTTGTCACAAGTAAGTAGAAAGCCAAAGCAAAACCTTGATCTGGAGGTTAATTAGTTTTAAGACATAAAATAAATCTCCATGAGGCCGTTCCTCATGATTCTTTCAAATGTGTATTCTTGTAGCAATGGGTGAGACACAACACTCCAGTTCTTCTGAAACTTCTGCTGGTGTTGCAAAATGCACAGTCAATTTAGTTTACTGCAGTGGATTATAGATAAACCTGCTGATCTGAAGAAATGACCTTCAATTTCTTTTTTATCAGGAGCTCAGTAAGCTCTTGGATGTCATTGGCTTGACAGCACAGCAGAGCATTTCCTTAAGCCACTTGCAAATACAAGTAAAAAAGCACTACATTGGAAGTGATGAAGTCCATTTTAAACCCAAGCGTTGTCCACTGCAGCTCTGCCTGTTCTGTCCCCATACCCTGCCCCAGGTGCCACACTCTGATCAGTTTCCTGCAGATAATCAGTCAGATGATTACCTTAAGCAATCATGTGCCATTTCCCTCCTCAATTTAGAAATTTACAGCTTTAAATGTATATATTTATAATCTGTTTCTAAAGTTTGGCTAAAACATCTTTCAAACCTCTTCCACGAGACAACTTGCATTTTACACACAAGAAAGAGAAGACATGAAAGGCTGTCCATGTTTCAGTGATTGATGTAGCATTATTGATGGACAACACGACACGAACAGCAGTAGGTGCCACTCATTCCTGTGTGGATCTGGTGGAGTCAGAGCAATGGCTGTAACATATCCTAACCAATAAAGCAACAGGCAAAGCCCAAGTGATTCACCCTGAAGGCAGACTCTTAAGTATTGCCAGTATCAGAAAGCAGGTTCCCCTGCTTTACATTTTCTCCACTGAGATCGTTCCATTATGCCATTTTTATTTCTCTCTAGAAGAGATTTTTAAAAACCAAAAAGGGCTAAATAAATAAGAAAAGTTACAGTGATTCAATACAGTTCAAAACAGTGAACTCACTGTAATGGGAAATCAACCTGAAGAAATCTACCAATGACGTATTTGGCTCGAAACACCTACTATGCAATAAAGTAGTTGAGGAAGCCCATGCTTAAAAATTCAGCATCTTCCTGGGTCTGAAGAAGTACTAGGCTTGGTTTGTTGCCATCCTATGCTGACAGTTTCATTATGCTCTATATAACTGCAGTATTACTGAAGAAGGTACCATAACATAACTGGCTCTGATTAAGTACACTGTCTCTGGCTAATCAAACGCAAGTAACACATCTCAGTGAAACTCAATAACCACTTCAATGCTGTGCTCCACACATCTGCACTTAGCCTGTGCAGTGACTTTGCAGTTTCTCTTGTTTGGTTATTTGTTTTTGTTGTTTTGTTTTGCTTGTTCGGTTGGTTTGCTTTGTTTTATTTCAATAACAGGGTAAACTTTCCAGCTGGTTTGCACTGCAGCTATTTAGAATCAGATGAATCCTGCAGACACCATCAAAGCAGATTTAAACCATGTCAATTTCTTGCTGCATGTAGGAACACCTAAACAAGATTCCTGGCTGTACCATTACTGGTCATTGCTGATGGGCTTTCTTGATTGCTGCATCCATAACATTCTAGAGGGTTTTGCCTTATTTTCTATAAAAATCCTACACATTTAGACACACCTAACTTGGAATTTCATTAAGCAGTTCAAAATCATTTTCAACACTACCTGTTTTATGCCTTGCCAACAATATCAATATTTGCTTGTCTTTTTCTTTGGGAAGTTGCATGCCATTATCATAGTCAAGGGAATTTTACTTCCAAATACGATCATCTCAAAATAGATTTTATGGTCAAAGTGAGAAGTTTGAAAAAGAACAATTTTTATAAAGGGAGATCTGTGAGATATTACAGAGTTAAACCTCACCTAATCCAGATTCTCACCATGTTCGCTCTGATGATTTGTAAGAGCTGCCATCCTGAAACTTGCACTTACATTCTGTATTTTTTGTACTATCTTATTATGATTGTGCTGAGGTTATATCAGGGGAAATATGGCATTTTTAAAAACTGCATAATTGTCTTCCACATTTCTCCCTTCTGTAGCTTGCTCAGCATACTCACTTAATAAAAGGAAATATAATGTGTAATTACTTTCCAAATACTTTGAGCTGTTTATGGAAAGAAGAAAATATTTTTTATTGATGCCTTGTAAGACTTCAATTCAGTGTGAGTTTTACCCTTGCATATTTATTTTCACGACCGACAGTATGAAAATGAGAAGTAAGAAATGCAGTCCAAACTTTTCTGTGGATAATGTTGAAAAGCGGCCATGAAAAACACACTTATCTTTTCTCTGTATAAATTAATACTGTGCAAATTGAATGTTGATTTTCACAGGACCAAATCAGCACTGAGAGTACCAGAGAACAAAGTGTCCAGTTTGAATGCAAATTCTGCTCTCACTAACTTGTCTGCAAGTTGTCAAGAAATGTCACAACTCTCTCGCTGAGCATTTTTGGTACCAGTAGCTCTAGATGGACATCTTTCTCATCAGTTTCATGCCATGGTAGAACCAGTTCAATCGTTTGCAATATTCTGAACACTCCAGTCCCCTAAAAAGGCTCTTCAGAGACTCTACTGTTACAAGCCAAACAATCCCTTGTTGCTCACCAGTCTAACCACAAGAAGAAACACTCCCCACTTCAATCCCAAATTAGGCGTTTTCCCACATAAACCTCCTGGAAATAGCAACACAAACAATAATGGGAATCAGCTAGCTGGAGCTGAGGAGCTTCTTCTGCAAATTAATGTCTCATCTTAAAAATTAATTGAAAAATTAATCTATTTATTTATTTGGTGCTCTTTCTATCCAATGATCCTGAAAAAAAATGTTATTATTAAGGTAGAACATTTTTTTTTTTTCTTTTCTTAGATGTGCATTCTATAAGCTTCAAGCAAGGCACTGTTAATTTCTAGTAATTTAGTCATCAAACTCAATATAAGATTCAGAGCGCGTGAAATCTATGGGTCTTCTGTGATTATGGCATGAATATGAATGCCATTTATTTTACTCTAAAAATCTAATTATTTCTCTGTGCTGGCTAAAATATGTTTATGAAAGAGAAAATTATAAAAAAAAATTAGAGCTTATGGCAGTGAACAATGATATTTCCAGATACTGTATCCTATCCTCTTTCTTCTGCAATTTTTCTGCGTTAATGCTGTATCTGAAACATGCTTCCCTATCCCAATTCATTGTTCTGCCTTCAGTTCCCCTTTAACAAAAAAAAAACCAAAAAACCCTCATTTCTTCCTAAAGGAGAAAGGTATGTGGTGGAACCAATTTTCTTTTCTTTTCTATTTTTTTTTTTTTAACCCTGAAGAATAGAAAAGCCTAATTAAAACCAAAAGTACACAATTCTGTATTCCCTGGGCTGATGCACTTTTCCTGCAGCCTGTATCTGCTCTTTATAGGCCACTGGTATGCATCAGAAAGTAGAGTAAGACACTGTCAACACCAAGAGTAAGCAACGATTAACAGCTGTCAGCTCTCCCTTCCAGCATGGGCAAAAGAAATTGAAAACACTCTACCTCATTTTTTGAGTATCTTCAGTAAGATCCAACTCCAAGCTCAATACATCTGTGCCACTCACAAACTGTGAACTGTGCTGGAAAACTCTTGACCCTGCTTCTTCTCATCATTCACACTTCCTCTTGTTCCTGACATTCATTTCTACTTTATGGGTTGTTCCTCTTCAAACACTGGGAAGCAGAGTTGGCCAAAAATTTGCATAGAAACAAGGGGATGTTTTGCTTCTCACCTCTACAAAGAATTTCTGTCCATTGTTCAAAGCAGACAAAGAGGGATTTGATCCCTGTCCCCACTGGTAGTCTCATGTGCTGACATCTGTATTCTTTGGGACTTTCTCTGTAATAAATTTCAAAATTATGCAAAACAGGCTAAAAAAGTTGGGAGCTTAGAAATTTAGAGCAAAAATTAAGTGCTTACCAGTAGAATTCAAGAACACACAATTCCAGGTATCGAGCATCATGCACTTTAAAAAAATAAAAAAATCTCCTGTCTCAAGTGCTTATGGAGACAAAATTAGCAGAAATCAGAAAGTAAGATGTGCTCAATAGTAAAAGAATTTGAACAAACTTTGCTTGCTTGCCTTTCTCACTCGTTTCCCATGACAAACGTATGGACTATTTTCTAAAACTTCTGGAATAATACTTCCTAAAAAGTGATACTTCATAAAAAGTGATACTCATGAAAGTAGAGGTGACTTTGAATTTTAGACTTATCACTATCCAGACAGCTATCACTAGCCACAGGGAATCCATTGACTGCAGCTGAACAGCAGCTTCTGCCTGAGCCAGGCAACACCCTGGTGCAAGAGCAAGATGAAGAGAAAAAGCATGCATTTTTACTTATGGATTTCCTGACAAAATGGAGCACTGGATTCTATTTCACACCTTCACCGAAGATTTTCAATTACATCAAATCCTGCTGATGTTCTTATGTGGGGAAGAAGTTCCTCACTGCCTCTTGCATCACTCCATTTATCAGAAGCACCTGCCGCTGTATTAGTTAATCCCACTTGAAGTCTGAGCTTGCTCAGCAAAATAGCAATACTAAATCCGGAAGGATTAACATTGTACCAAAGTGTTCAGCATCTTGCAGTTAGTAGGGTGCAGTATTTATTGGCTTGGCAGACTTTTTATGGAGATGAGTAACAAAAAAACTTCTCCTCTTTCTCAAAGCATAAAATTCAACACAGAACTGACCCTTTGCAAATGTTGCAAGCCTGACTTTTTCTATATCAACTGTTAAGTTGTGCAGGGAGGAAATGGTCTTTGTGGGAAACCAAGGGTTCTGTATATCCTTCAGAGTAAATCAATAAGTCTCTAATATCCTTGGCACAAAATTAGGTACTTAGTGCCCTAAAAATGCCCTGTAGAGGGGCTGAACGTCCTATTTTGCCCTCTGTGCTTCTATTTATGCAAATGGCTGCCTCCGCTTTCTGAGTGTATTGTTATCAGAAAATCATAATCATGATTACAGGTAAAAACATCTCCACAATACATTCCAGTTATAAGACATAAACAAGGATTGAAGGAACATCCTTAGCAGTATTTCCTGATCTCTGAAATTTTTCTGTCTTCAGCTTACAAGCGCATTAAGATCATGACAAATCCACTGCTTTAATTCAGAAAGAATCTAAAGTGAAAGCATGAGAAATTTAACTCATCATGAGGCCCAACGGGTAGAGACAAGGGTAGGCCCTTTCCTGGGATCATGTGTTAAACACAGCTCTTGTCCTTGCACTGGAACTGAAACGAGCAGGTAACAAATCCCCACAAAGCCTCATGCGTTGCAGGATGCTGTGCTGTGACAGCTGTCTGCAAATGGTGCTCCAAACAGCATTTCAGATGCTTTTCTCACTCAAAATTTGTAGTCCCATGACTGTGACACACAGGCCAGACCTTTCGGTAAAGCTTCTGAAGCATGGCCATACCCCTGATAGTTTCAAGGGCACGCAAATGAAGTTGTAGCTCTTTTTCTCACAGCACTTAGAAGAATTACAATTATTACTTGCACTATTTATATTATGTCCTTTAGTAAAAATTATAATAATGTGTAAGGAAAACATTTTCACTGTTTAATTGGGTTTACGTTTAACACCAAAACTGTAAAGATAAAACTCGTGCTCACTTAATAGCTAATCAAGAATTTCCTTTCTTTTAAAACTGGCAAAGTATCTTTTGGGTGAGATAGTCAGTTACAGCCCTTACTGCCAGCTTATTTGATTCTTAAGGAAAAGATACTCAGTTGCTTAGGATAGCAGAAGTAAAAAGCATACTTTGGTATGCCAAATATGTATATATATATATATTTTTTTCTCCATATGTTAGAGCAGGATTTGATATTTGATGGAAGCTCAATATCCCATTAAGGCAGACTTTCATCAGCCATGTGAAACCTACAGATTTTTTTAAAACTTAAACTTGGTAATATTCTCATGCTGTGGTCAAGAACACGTTAACAAGTATAATGTTTTCTCACCTGCACTTAATCCCCTGTTACAGCCCTGCAGCAGTTGGAGTAAGAAAGCAGAGACCCTCTCTCCTGGGATCTCCTGGACAGCAGCCACACCATATAGCAACAAATAAAGAATTACCCTGATGGAGCGGAAAAAAGGCTTGTAGCTGTAGAAAATACTTTCTTCCTTTAAATTACCCATTACACATTATGAGGGAACTCTGTAGTAACAGACATGTTTTCCCCTTGTGACCCTTCTGCCTAGAGATTAAGCAGCATGGCTCCAGGCTGACTTCGCAGTGTGCTCGCACCAAGGATGGAAAAAACTGAAGCTCTTAAGTAGCTGTCCTACATATATTGCCAATATTTTTCTCAGTATCAGAGGATGAAATTCCTGGATTTCATATTTCCTTTTAAAATATTTAGTTGTTGACATATTAAAAAAACTACATCAAAAGAATGTTTAGATTGCAATATCAAGCCACCAGACTTACAGAAATGCCAGGTTTAAGGCTGCATCAGTGATATATGCTCAACATTTTATGCTTATGCAATATGATACAACCACAAATAATTTTTATCTTCAGTGTGCACTTGGGAGACATTTCTGAGATAACCACCAATTCTATGTGGCCTCTCCTTCAGCAGAGGGGGAGCTGAATACAAAAACAGAAATTGAAGCTGCATGAAAAGAAATGTTAGTCTCTGGTTTAAAGAATCTGAACTTTTGTCTTTAGGTAGTTGATTGTATACCTATCTCTGCCTTCAATGCAGAAAAAGGGTAGATGTGGCACCGAGGGACATTTAGTGGGCATGGTGGTGATGGGTTGATGGTTGGATTAGATGATCTTAGTGGACTTTTCCAATCTTAATTATTCTATGATTCTAAATAAATGGCTTCAATGGGTGTCCAGCTTTCAACACAAGATTAATAAATGCTATGATACTCACCATCTCTGGCCTCAAAAACTCAATTCACACCTTATTTTGATTATATGAAATGCTACAATACTATAAAGGCACTGAAAAAATCATGCTCTTGGGATTTCAAATTCAGTGCCCTAAGCTAATGGGCATTTCTCATTTTCATGCAAAATCTCACCTTGTCTATAAAGGAATAAGAACTGGCAACAACAACAAGAAGGGAAAATTATTTGCCATCTGGTGATCAGCAGAAGTTATGCTGATAAGACATAAAAATACATCTATCAAGACGGCTTTTTTTGGAGCACAGTTTGAATCATACATACTAACCATGAGACAAGGAAGACAAAATGGAACACGGAAAAACCTCAGTGAAAACCACTGCATGTGAACATCTGACTAAAGTCTACAGAATAATGTATAGATGCAGCCAATTCTGCCATGTATTAGTTCTTAAATCATGGATTTTACACTCTCCCGTGCCTTTTAGTTTAATAAATTATGCCTAGATTACACAATGCAAGCACCCACGAATGCACTGCACTACTCACAAAGCCATATCTGAGGCATAAAATCTATTTGCCGGCTTCCAGATGTTTCCAAAAAATGCAGTTCAAAAGATATAAGTGGTAAAAAACGTGTCCCCAGAACATGTTTTTCCCCTGGAGTCTATAAAGAGAAGAGGACATATGTTTGACAACAGTGAAGCAGAAATATCACTTCAATTGCAAGTCAGTTAGCCCAGAGAGCACTGCAGTACTAGAGAGAGCTTCAGAGGACATAAAAATCTAACCATCTAAATCTAATCATGATATGCCCTGGGAAGAAAAATAACTGAGAATGCTTAGACAGGCAAAGACAAGCATTAATGATATCAAAATTATTTCACAAATAATACTTATTTATGTTTTGTAACAATATGATAATTCCCTTTTCCCCTCACACCGTTTCTGGAAGAATAAGCTATCTGACATGAGCAGGGCACTGGCATAGGTTTTGAGAGGCCTGAGTTCTGCTAAGACACATATTTTTGTATGATCCTGAGCAAGACATGTAAATCTTTGACAATTATGAAGTTTCTATGCAGTAATTGTCACAGTGTGACTGAACAGCAGAAAGTGCATAGCAAATCCCAGATGCGGGAATCATCACAAACTGACCTTAAGAAAATGTTGAAAATCATTGAATCTGTGTCACATCGGTCTCACTGCTTCTCACTCTGCTCCCTCTTGGGACTGAAATGAAGCAGATATCCTAAACCCATCTTCCTTTCCTCACTACCTGTCTTTTCAAAATAACCCAGGAGCCAAAGTGTCCTTCAGCAAACAATGTCACATCAGGACAAGCAAGGGCCTGCTGTCCACCCCCACTGCAACACCTACTGAATTTCAACTTTGTCCTTTTCCTTACGTTTAGGAAATGAGATTATCATACTGAAATTTCACATGGCACTTCTGGTCTGTTATGCCTCTGCATTGAAATGTGACCTTTAATCTCTGTCATTGCATTGTTTTCCAAACACTTACTAGAAAATCATTGTTGTTGCAAGGAACATCAATCTGTGCAACAATCACTGCTGAACTGCTGTAATTCAGAGGTGTGACTGGGTTCCCTTCCTTCTCCTGAAGTCTGGAGAGCTTTCAACTTTATTTTCCCCTTATCATCTAAAATAGAGAACTTCTATGGCAATAACCTCAAAAA